AGATAGATAGATAGATAGATAGATAGATAGATAGATAGATAGATAGATAGATAGATAGTTTTTTACATGTGTTCCATCACTCTGCTGAACAACTAAGTCCCTGAGCATTGTCTGACTTCTCTTCTTTCCTACTATCTTCTCTTATTGGTTTCTTACGATCTATCAATTGTTTGTAACTTACGTTTAATGATCGTAACTATGATTTATGACCTATGAACTATTACTTGTTGTTTATATGTTCACTGTGAGCTTATGCACCAGAGACAAATTTCTTGTGTGTCCAATAACATTTAGCTAATAAAAAATTCTATTCTGTTTTGTATTTTACTCTGTATTCTATTCTATTTTACTCTATATTTATTCTTTATTTCACTCTATATTCTATTCTATATTTTCTATTCTATTCTATATTGTATAGTCTAATCTAGTCTAGTCAACATACATCTTTGAGCTCTTAGAGAAGTAGCAGCTTCTAAAATTGAATAAATTGCTATTCAGGCGATGACTGTGGAGACCCCACAAAGCTGGTGGTAATATTACAGGATTCCTTTATTTTGGGCGGGGGGACACCAGAATTCCTGCAATCCAGCTGGAGATTTCCCTGCTTTTCAAGACCCTTGACCCAATTTCTTTTCTGCCTCCTCTCTCTGCCCCTTCTTTCTGCCCCCCCCCCTCTGCAGGACCAGGGGACTGTGGGCGTCATTTTCAACGTAGGCACCGACGACATCACGATCGAGGAGAGCAATGCCATGGTGAATGATGGCAAGTACCACGTGGTCCGCTTCACCCGGAGCGGCGGCAACGCAACGCTGCAGGTGGACAACTGGCCCATCAACGAACGATATCCGGCAGGTAGGGGACCACGAAGCGGCGGCTGCCGCCACTCCCTTCTCTTTTCCCCCCACAACAGCGGAGGTTGGACCCACCTGGCCCTCTCTTCCTTTCTGCCACAGGCGAGGGTGGTGGTGAGGAGAGCAGTAGGGTGCAGCGGGCAGCTGCCCTGGCATTCTTGGTGGCATCTCCTGTGCTTTCCAGATGCTCCGATGCTCACTCGCACATTGTGCGCCGAGGAAGGATGGGAGGAATCAGAAGGATGAATAAAAGAGCCTTAGGATGTGGGGCTTAGGAAACTCTCTTTCAGTGGGGCAGAGGGATGGGATCTTGAGCCAATCTTACCCCGTCGGAAGCATTTCTGGCAAGAAAGCTCTTTCTTGAAATGGTCCCACTTCTTTGGAGGTGCTGAAAATCGCACACCAAGTCTTTCTCTACTCCCCCCCATAAGTTTCAATCTAGAAACCCCTCCCCTGTTTGCAGGGGGTCTAGACTTGTTTTCAAATTTCCCCCTTTCCCATCAGTTCAACAAATAGCATCACTCAGGACTCGGGCCTGAACAGGGATGACGGTAGGAGAATCGCGGGCTCTGTTTTCCTTTGGAAAAGTGTTCTGACCCAGCCTTAGCAGAAAACAAGAAACAGACTCCTCGTCATGAAAGAGTTCTTCAAGGAGTTAACTGCAGTAATAGACTCTGTCAGTTCCTTGAGATAATTGCCAGGCTGTGAGCTCCCAGCCAAAAGGCTGCAAATTAAGTTCTGGCAAGCAGTCTCTATGGCACAAAACACAATGAGCAAAATCTTCAGAAATGTGAACTGTTGTCTCCTACGACCACCACTCCCCTTTCCTTCTATTTATTCCCCAGCCATGGAGGGGCCCTTTACCATTCACGTGTGCTTTGCTTCCCNAATGCTGGCTGGGGAATTCTGGGAGTTGAAGTCCAGACGTCTTCAAGTTGTCAAGGTTGAGAAACACTGTACTAATAACTGCAATGATTCCCTTAACAACTGTAGCCAGGAAGGTCGTAAAATGGAGTAAAACTCCCTTTGCAAATGTCTCGCTTAACAAGAGAAATTTGGGGCTCAATTGAGGTCATAAGTCGAGGACCACATGTAAATGCTCTTCTCTAATGCAGGGGCAGCTCCTGCAAGAGGTCTCGGGCATTCCGGCCTTCTGACCAATGGCAGGGTCACCTCTGCAACCTTCTCCTTGACCTGCAGGGGGCAGCGCTCATAAAGCCCCTACGTCCCATGGTTGAAATAATCCAGGTTTAATGCAATAATTACATGCATCGCTAATAAAGAACAGAAGCACCCAGCAAGCCAGCTGTTCCCGCCCCGTGGCATTAATCACTGTTTAGCATAATAATCCTTTAATAATGCCCTGCACACACGCGCGCACACACACAATCATAGAAACACACACACACAACACACACAAGCACACACATCCCTTTCCCCACTCCCTGGATGCCCGTTGCGTAGAGATTTTGCTGTGTTTTCGTCGGATTTGCAGCCGACAGCAATTCCTGGGCCAGGGCTAAAGGCCCGATATTAAGTGAGCCTCTTTTCCCGGGGCCAATCAAGACGACTCCAGCAGTTTTAAATGCCACAGAAAAATCCTTGTTGCTGACCCAAGCATTCTGCGAAACACAAAACACGGAGCATTTTCTCCACTGACCTAGTAAGGCCCTTTTGAGTATTCCATGCGAAACGGACTGTCCTTCCTTATTAAGGGAAATTCAATTCAATCATATATAGAGCTGGAAGGGACCTTGGGGAGCTTCTAGTCCAGCCCCCTTGGAGATCGATTCAGATGAACAGAGTTGGAAGGGACCTTGTAGGTCATCTAGTCCAACCCCTCACCCAAGCGGGAGACCCTACACCATTTCTGACAGATGGCAGTCCAGCCTCTTCTTGCTCTTCTTTATAACATTTCTGACAAGTGCCTGTCCAGTCTCTTCTTCAAAACCTTCAGTGAGGGAGAATCTACAACTTCTGGTGGCAAGCTGTTCCACTGGTTAATTGTCTTCACTGTTAGGAAGTTTCTCTTTAGTTCTAGACTGGATCTTTCTTTAACACAAAAAAAACAGAGCTGGAAGGGACCTTGGAGGTCTTCTAGTCCAACCCCCTGCTCAAGCAGGAGACCCTATAGTACCATTCCAGGCAGGTGTCTCATTAAAAGCATCCAGTGATAGCACATCACAACTTCTGGAGGGAAGCTGTTCCGCTGGTTAATTGTTCTCACTGTTAGGAAGCTTCTCCTTAGTTCCAGGCTGAAATAGATCAGACCGGACTACAAGTCCCAGTATCCCTATGGTACTCCCTGAACCATGATGCCCAGCATCCCCCAGCAGCAAAAGCAGTGAATTGCCTGTATGAACGTATGTATGTATGTATGTGCAAGCTGAGCTTGTCGATCAGGAAGGTCGGCAGTTCAGCGGTTCGAATCCCTAGCACCGCATAACGGAGTGAGCTCCCATGACTTGTCCCAGCTTCTGCCAACCTAGCAATTCGAAAGCAGGTAAAAAATGCAAGTAGACAAATAGGAACCACCTTTGGTGGGAAGGGAACAGCGTTCCGTGCGCCTTTGGCGTTGAGTCATGCTGGCCACATGACCACGGAGACGTCCTTGGACAGCACTGGCTTCTTCGGCTTTGAAACGGAGATGAACACCACCCTCTAGAGTCAGGAACAACTAGCACATATGTGTGAGGGGAACCTTTACCTTAGCTAGAATAATAGGGAGGTTTTGAGTTAGGCGGGATATTCAAGAACTTTTAATGAATAAATCCATAAATCTTTGTTTTTCCAATTCTTAGGTATATATATCTATATCTAT